TGTGTTTGGAGGGGATGATGGTAGGTCTTGCAGTGTTGATTAGAGGATTCGATGGATATTTTGGTATAAATATTCTTTTATATTTGTGTTTTAGAACATGTGGATTTGTAGCAATATTGGTGTACACAACACGAGGATAATAGCCAGTACTATTGGCGTAATAGGTGACGGTTTGGAGCCGACCATCTGGGAGTAAGACATAGTACCTACCAGTCGTTTTTAAAAGGTCTTTGACTTCTTCATGGCCATAATAATTTCCTCTTAAGTCTTGTACATCATACTTGAAGGAGTGGTAATGGGGAACCTGCAATTCAAACACAGTTATAGAAAGCCCTTATATACACTGTAACTTCAGTTTTTTACAGAATTTGGAAAATGCACTCTTACAAAAGGTCATGATTACTTTTTCATGTTCCGTGAATAAGATTTTGACCAGAAGGGTGAAAATGTCTTTTAGCATCTTTAGTTTTTTCGTCTGTAACACTTCTCTGCAAGTAACAGCCATTTCTGTTAACATTTATATAAGGAAATTCCTTATCGTGGGCATGCGGAAAAAGAAGTAGCTTTTGGTATTTGTTTTGTATTAGCCTCAGAATGTGCATTTCATAGCTAGTGGTTAATTTGTTAATTTAGCACACTAAATTAGAAGTTTCTGTGACTCAATTGTTTCTAGATTTCTGATATTTCTTTAGGTTCTTATATAGTTGTAGCAGTATAATTCATATAGTTAATATTTTATAACTGAGGAGAATAACACAAAAACTGTGTTGGATTTCGAAAAAAAAAAATATCCGCTCACTACACACCGCCACTCCACTCTCCTTCCAAGTAGGCTTTTCAGTCTGTCAGTGACATCAATCCAACAATTGATCCTTGAGAAATTTTGGCATGTAAATTTAGATTGGATGCCCTTCCTATCATCCCATGGTGGTATCGATTATGGGTCTGTCTACTCCGAAGTCGGGCATGCTGAAAACAATGGTTAACCAAAATTCAAAAAGGATTGTAAACCTACCTCTGGATATCTGCGTGGCAATGATGCAGAACGAAAATGTTGGTAGGCAGTTTCAGATGGCGTTTCAAATTTAGCTTCTTTTGGTTTCACTGCTTCATTATATGGTCTTGTTATCCTGCGAGAAGGTGTACGATATCTGGATTTTTGTCTTGTATTGGCAGTGATATGCTCATCATATCCATTGGGCCTTGAAGATTCTTTATGGTGAATGTGTTTCTCGTACGGTTCATCTTCATTCATTGGATGAGAATTGCCATTTTCATCTAGGGAAAAGACTTGAAAGGACTGTTGGTCCTTTTGAGGAAGTTTTGGAAAGGACTGACGGTCCTTTGAAGAAAGATCTTGAAAGGACTGATTTTCCTGTGAAGATAGTTCTGATAAAGTGTCGTCATGCAGGATCGCTGCAGCATAAGCAGCAGCCGATTCTGCAAAACTGCGAGGTGCAACAGGACCTTTGATGTTATTCTGATGTGGCAAATCATCCCAGTCAATGGCTAATGCAGAGGCATCAGTGAATTGATCAGTTATGGGAAATATCGAATGCATGTAATGAATAGTTTCATCGTTTTCATGGATTCTGCCAGAATTCTCCCCTACAAAGTCTGGAAGATCAAAAGCAGTGTCTATAATTCCATACGGTAAGAACAGGGTATCGCCCTCTTCGTCTTCATCGGACTCGGTAATATTTGAGATGTTGATAAAATCAAACATCGACACTACTGAATCGTTAGCCAGTATTGCTGATGGATCTAGAGGGATCATATATGAATGCCACCTGTACTCTTCTGGGATCACATTCTGTGGTTGTAATAGGTAATTCTGAATATTTATAGTTTCAGAAGGATGGGAGAAAGGTTCATTTAATGTGGATTGTGAATTGTCGTATGATTTTGAGAATGATGTGTGTGTGTTGTTCTCATCTTCCACATTATCTCTTGATCTTTCATAGCTTGGTTTAGATGACATGTTTTCCTCATTTTTTATATCCACTGTTGGAATATCTTTATTCCTCAGAACTCTTTGCATTGAAATCCGTTTTCTAGCCCTCAAAGGGATTTGAGTTGACAGCGTTCCATCAGTATTTCCTGAAGGTCTAGCTGTTATGACACTGTTCATTTCAATGGCTTTAATTCTGTTTCTTAGTCGTCTTATTTTGAATGGATGGGTTTGAGTGGCATCATTTACTCTTGGACCTCTAAGGTTCTCTGAGGTTTGTATAGGTTGTATAATTTGCCTATGTATGCGAGGCGCAAATGGAATGAAGTCGTCATTATGGAGTACAGTGACAGAGACGTTGGATTCTTCGTCTTGACTGTCGTCTTCAAATGGGAACTTCGGGAAGAAAGCTTGTGAATTTATAAGCTTAGGCAGAGGGGTTGTCAAATGGAGAGAGGCATTGAAAATATTACTCATCGAAGAAAATGGCATTTCCCTTGCTTTTTCAGCCATATTTGGAATATAAATTGTCGCTGATTTGTCAGTTTCATTGGATGTTAAATTGAAAAGCTGTTTTGGATCATCTTCTTCATAGGAAATCGTTTTATAACTATTATT